ACCCTAAGAGCGATGGCCTCCAACCTAAGAGCGATGGCCTCCACTCTTAGAGCGATGGCCTCCAACCTATAGCGATGGCCTCCACCCTTATCCAAGAGTGGCCTCCAACCTAAGAGCGATGGCCTTTAACCCAAGAGCGATGGCCTCCAACCTAAGAGCGACGGCCACCACCCTGCTAGCGATGGCCTCCAACCCAAGAGCGATGGCCTCCACGCGATGGCCTCCAACCTAAGAGCGATGGCCTCCAACCCAAGAGCGATGGTCTCCACCCTCAGAGCGATGGCCTCCACCCTTAGAGCGATGGCCTCCAACCTAAGAGCGATGGCCTCCACCCTTAGAGCGATGGCCTCCACCCTAAGAGCGATGGCCTCCAACCTACTAGCGATGGCCTCCACCTTACGAGCGTTGGCCTCCACCCTAAGAGCGATGGCCTCCAACCTACTAGCGATGGCCTCCAACATACTAGCGATGGCCGCTAACCTAAGAACGATGGTCTCCAACCTAAGAGCGATGGCCTCCACCCTTAGAGCGATGGCCTTCACCCTAAGAGCGATGGCCTCCAACCTACTAGTGATGGCCTCCACCCGAAGAGCGTTGGCCTCCACCCTAAGAGCGATGGCCTCCAACCTAAGAGCGATGGCCTCCAACATAAGAGCGATGGCCTCCAACCTACTAGCAATGGCTTCTAACATTCCGCTACACACAGCAATATGCTCGAACAACAGAGTCAGAGAACCTGGTGCTTGCATGAAACTTTGACACTTGTCCTTTCAGGCTTCTCGAATGCTGATCTGGCAAATCATTCACCATCGCTAGGTGCGGGAAATGCATGCCACAAGCGCCGGATGGGCAGCTCCCCCTCAAGCCTGATGAGTGGATGCCTCAGCGGTTGTTGTGCTGGTCAAGGGAGTTGGGGATTGAGAATTTTATGAAGGTGACAGTAGAGAGTTCACTAAGACCAAGACAGCTAGGTCATCCTGCCTCTTGGTGTATAGTTACTACCTTCAGGTCATTCGTAGCCGCCTGCTCAAGACCGGGAGAGAGATGACTCGGGCCGTTTGGTTTGGGGGTGCTTTAGACTTTCATGATTGTCACCCATTGAAACTAGCATCGCTCTCCCAGGCTGTATTCATTGGGATAGACGCTCTTTGTTTGACAGGGAATACATCCAAACAACCAGGCTTGAGTCAGCCAAATGAACAATTGCCAGGTTATCCACAATTGTCATGCTCAATTCCTGCGTAGAGTGCATTTGCTTTAGTCCAATCAAAAGACAAATGTTTGTCCCCAGTGGAGAGTTAAGAGCAAGCTGGAAATGGGTGTGCCGGAGGAATGTCATCATGATCATTGGTCATACTCCCCATGTGCAAGCAACCAGTTAAAGATACAAAATGCTGCGGCAATAAATCATGTATGAACAAGAGAAAGCTAGATGGATGTGTTTGTTTTGTTTTGCGCATTTGTCGTTATTTTAGGGCTTGCAGATGGGCTTGCAGCACATTCCCAGGCTTGTCTTGGGCCAGGCTTCTGACATCCAGGCGGCTGGTGACCCTTATAGAACCTACTGCGAGCTTTTCAGGGATTTGTTGGTTCCTACGGCTCATGATCACACTTTGGGTCTCTTGCAGATGAGAGCGTCAGTGCGCTCACAAGGAACGTGATCGAGTGCAGGAATCTGATAGGGGATATGGATCTAGTTGACAGGAGCGGTCTTTGTTCCCACGGGTAGCGACTGACCATATTGTATCACTATAGCTGATTTTGTTTCAGAGGTCTCTTCATTGTTAGAGTGGTGGGTGAACAGCCTTTTGCAAGGATCTTGCAACGAAACAAACGAGCATTCCATTGCTGAGGGCACAAGAGCTGATTGGTGCAAGAGGGGCTCAGTGAACTGATTCTGTCAAGGCGATTAAAGAAAATTCGGTTCTTTCAAAACTACAGCTGGGAACGTTGGTTGAGGATGTTCCTGTGCATGTCAATCAATTGTTGTCTATGTTCAATGAGAAGTGCACCTTTGGGAAGTGTGCTGGAAAGACTTGAGCTTCCCAAAATGTTGCCAGAATCTTGCAGCAGCAAATACACCCAGGTAGTTGAATCCAACACTCTAGATGCCTCCCCACACCATGCATGCTGGGAGGCCCTGACCGAGAACATCAACGAGGAGCCAAGATGTTGTTTTTGAAGCCTTCCGGGCCTTTGACAGCCAAGCGCCAGTGGGTTTGTCCAAGAATTGTTCATGGAAGACATCCTGCACCTTTTGATTGAGGGAGCAACGAAGCATTATTTTGCTGGGTTGCTGTTATGAGTTCTTTCACCATGCTAACATCTTTGGAGCTCCGGGGGTATAACTCAATGAGGTGACAAGGTGCACGCAGTCCGAAGGAGACCCAAGTTTAAGAGGTGATCCATACCACCTGCAGCTGTGAACACTGGGCCTGTGGTGACGCACAGACACACACACACACACCTTCAAGAGAGATGCTCATCCACCATCATCCACCTGTTGTTTCTTGAAGATTTTGGTTCGATACCATCAAATCCTCAACCCCACCAACGTGATACAAAATCCGACAATTCCTTAGAATCCAACAACAAACTTCAAGAACCTTACTGTACAAAGGTTTGCAATGTTAATGTTAGTTAGCAAGCCATCCTGGTTTGCAAGCGCTGCCCCTGCTCAGTATGGCATGATATGCCACTCACCCAAACGCGGTGCCGGGTTGCCCAGTTGCGAAAATCCTCCCAGTCACCAACATGGAGGGAGAGTTGGAGGAGGACGACGCAGGTCCTGTAGATATTGAAGGAGAAGATGTGAAGGACCATATGCAGGATGCTGATGCGCTGGAGCGTTTGAAGGTGCTCAGCATCCAGTCTCTTTGTCGGAGCTGCAGAAAGAATACATCCCCTTGTTCAGGAATCATCGGAAAACTCTTGTTCTAGGGCTGGGGCTGGGGTGCATTTTCTCCATTCCATTTTGGTGAGTGGGGCCTGTGAAAGCAGTTGCACCCAAACGTTCTATTTGGGTGCGTGCCTTCCCAAGAGACCTTGCCCAGGCCGCAAGGCGATCGCCTTTCTTGCGCCAGGATGAGGCATTTGGGCTGAGGATGAAGGAACCATAAGGAACCGAGGGTGTAAAGAATATTGAACACAGTTTTGAGAAAGCTTATTCTTATTGCAGGAACCTGTGAAGACTGGAAGAAGAAACCTGTTTGGCGTGGTGACCTATTTTGGTAGAAGGCATTTGCTGGCAGAAGAACATGGCTGCGACGCGTGGTTTGTGTGAAGTGAGACGACCACAGAGGTAGAATTAGGTTGTCGTTGGAGTGCATCCAATCTCTATCTCGTCTATCTTGGCCGATCTTGGCTGAAGCCAAGATAAGATTCCTGCAGCTGCAGTTTATTTCAGCCACATTGTCATCCTCTTGTGCCAGGGCATGGTGAAGTTCCACAATCGGCAATCAAGGACTGCAGCTCAGCCAAATCTCTTATTATTGAATCTGCGAGAAATTCTAAAAAACTGCCAAGCAATCTGTATTTTGCGAACGATAATCCTTACGAAGTGTCCTAGACTAAATTCTTCTAGTTTCCACTTATATAACTCGCCAGGATCGAACAGCTGGGCGAGCGACTCCACCTGACGGCCGGCCCCAAACGGGTGAAATGGGGCGAAGATCGTTTTGGACGAGAAAAGTTTGGGTTTTTGGAGCAAAAACAAGTGGGCATCCTTGCGGACATTGCGCCAACATGCATCAAATTGGGCCAGCAGTGAGTTACATGGTAGAGGCAGAAGTGCACGGATGTTTCTGTGCAGTGTAGACTGTAGACCAATTGGTGCCTGTGTGAATGGATCTACTACGTCAAACACTGATGTCCGCTGTCTATAGCGCACGCGTTGAAGCCGCACCCAGTCCACTTTATGAGTCAGATGGCCGGGAGAAGGTGTCCATAGCTCTCAAGCTCTCAAGAAGACCCTCACTTATGTACATGTGATTGGGTCAGGTCACCAAAGCTATCAAATCTCACTGCTTGACTTGGAACCACACCTCCCGCGTTCACACAGGCGACGCATCCAATGAAGTTCTTCCAGCGCACGGTTGAGACGCCAGAGGCACTTGCAATGAATGCTGACACTGAGGAAACAAACAGAGGTATCCTCCACCCTAGTGGCGATGGCCTCCAACCTCCTAGCGATGGCCGTCTTCTAGTGATGGCCTCCAACCTACTCTCCATCCTAGTAGCGATGGCCTCCACCCTAATGTGGAGGTGATCTTCCAGGCCTTTGGTGGCACACTTTCAAGGACACCAAATGTTTGTGGGTGAAATACCTTGGGACATCTCGACGTGTCATATCATGTGACTATGTATATAATCAGTTGATCATAGTTGATCAGCGGTCCATCCTTTGCGATCAATAAACTTGCGGGTTGAAGGATCATTGCATGTTGGTACGCTCCAAGGTACTTAGCGGAAATGGAGAGTCGACTCTTTAACCGGATATTGTTTTGCTGCTTGGCCTGTGAGCACCTTACATCCGTTGAGTACTTCCTTCGAACTCTTGAACCAACTCTCAGTCTCGAATGCTTTCACACACTGGGGCGCAAACGGCGCAAGAGGCGTCGTCGCCAGGACATCGAGTTGATGCCTGGGATGACGCGGTCCCGTTTCTCGTGGCCCGGACACTGTAAATTGGAGGTTTAGAAGTTGAAGACCAAACCTGTGCCTTAGTGAGCCTTAGTGCCTTTGTAGACTGCACAGAGTCTGTGTTTTCCTGTTGCTGGAAAAGAGGAGGAGAAGGAGAACGAGCAAGATTTGGAAGATATTGCCTCACCCCTGCGCTTTGCTCCAAGCAGCAAGTGCTACCCGGGTACACCAAGAACCGGGGGTTCTATCCAAGCGCGGCCCTCTACAGCAGATACACGTCGAGTAGTCCGATCGCGTCGATCTAAAATTCTCAACAAGAAGAACCATTCAAACGCCGCAACTGCAGAGTTCCCGCATCCAAACACGCGCACACCGTTTCATTCTTTTCTTAAAGAACGGAGAGCCAAGAGCCACGGAGGGCCGTTTACCTCTCGTGTTCTCCGAGGAAAGATGATTTCACGGGGTATGACGTGAAGATGAACCCTGAAGGCCGACGGTCGCGGCTGAGGAGCTCTGATCATGTCTTGTTCAGATCATAACAAGTATACGAGTGGGCCAGCCACTGGTCTTTTGCGCTTCTGGAATGGATGATAGAGGTTTCTTCATTGGCCCCACTTGGCAATCTTACTATTATATAGTAAATAAAAATAAATGAATCTAAATGACATCACCTGTGGTTGCTTCCTGTCTTTTTGCACTGATGAACCGGAAGCCTGTTTTGTCGGGATTGTGTGGAACAATATGAATGAGTGATGTTAACCCCTGCTGCTTCAGAAGGACACCACAGCGAATTCATGCGAATTCTAAATTTCGCAATGTTTGCTGGTCAGGCTTCCAATTGCGAACCAAAACGAATCTTGCCCAACGGGTTTTTCCTCCCCTGAACCCAATGTCAAAAACCCACCCTTATTTGGTAGGATATCTTGTGCTTTCCTCCCCTTCCCGGTCGTCCGACTGGTCAACAAGCCGCGATCAGGTGACTCGAGCTCGGACACTGACGAGGACTCCGCCGACTCCATCTCCCAAGTGCCGCCGGGGAGCCCGGGATGTCGGTGCACGGGGAAGGCTGGTGGACTTGAGGGATTTCCACGCCAAGACTGTGGGTAGGTTGAATTCGGTCGAATTCGGTTGAATGGTGCAAGACTTAATTATGACTCCGAAGTCGGTCCAAGTTCAGACATTCTCAACGTGGACCCTGGGTGAAATAGCTTGCTGGCGAATTTGAATCCTATACTATACCTATTGCAAGTCCTGCCTTCTAGGTGGTTTTGGGATAAACATTATTTTCAATCACTGTCACATCTTCGAAGCAAAACGCAGACACTCACTCTAGATATGATACGTTCGATTGTGTTTCAGGCCTTAGTCAAAAAAAACCTGAGTAAACCAAGTTCGAAACGGAACAATTTGAAAACGGCAGGTATGGTGGAGTGGCCAACTCCACTCCCATCGTGCCTAGCTTTCTCATACCAGAGCAGCAGCAAGATAGAGGTCAAAAAAGACTCCCTATGATTCCAAGGGCTACACGCGCGCGGGCACCAGATCTAAGGTCCACGCCGAAGGTGAAAGGAGCAAAAGGAGGAAGAAGGAGGAAGGTGGAGTGGCCAGGTGGCAGGTGTTCTCACGTGTCTCCAGCCTGAGTATCAGCAACTGTGGGGATTGGAAGGAGGAAGAAGGAGGGAGAAGGAGGAAGAAGGATTCGGTGCTCAACGCACCCAGGGTTCCACACACACGCGCCCCTGAGGGGAGCGCCAGCCTGAGGGGGGGTGGCGCCAGCCTGAGGGGGGCGCCAGCACTGAGGTTTGCGCCGAAGTGAGAGGAGAAAGGAGGGGGAAGGCGGAGTGGTCAAGAAACAGGTTGCCCCGCAGGTCTCCGGGCTGAGTTTCAGCACCCGTAGCGAAAGGGAGGAAAAAGAACAAGAGAGGAAGGAGGAAGAAGGAAAAGGGAATCAGTGCCCAACTCACCAAATGCGGAAGGAAGGAAGGAAGGACGAACGAACGAAGGAAGGAAGGAAGGACAGTGCACTCCACAGAAGCCAAAGGCTTCCTATAATCCAAGGGTATCCAAGGGCTACAAATGCATACGCCCCGCGCTAGGCGGCGGTTGAAGCACATGTGCGCGCAAAAGAGGACAAGCGAAAGGATATGAAGGAAGAACATGAAAAAGCACCCGATGTGTGTGGAGGGCACTACTTCGGGCTCACTCCGAGATGAAGAAATGGCCACCCGGCCATATCCAGTTCGAACCTGGCAGCCTCAGGACACTTTTGAAGAAGTTCACCACCGAACAGGCCAGAGTCTGCCAGAGTCGCCTGCCTGTCTCCAACACCAAAGTTTCAAGCCCTCAGACAAGCCTACCGCAAAGCCGATAGTCTTGTTGAGTATAGGCAGATGATATACATGTGTTTGATTTGTTGAAAACCAGCAATGACAAGCGCACGCTTCCAACATTTGTCTCATTGGCCGTCCTTCACAGCTTTTAAGATCTCACTCTTTCACCCAGTCCTTTCGTTTTTCAGATTCTTTGGGTTGTTTCGGAGGTGAGTCGGATGGAGCTGGTGGCGCTCAACCATGTCGCTCGACACAGGGAACAACGATTGACAGCTACGGCAAAGATAGCGGCTGCGGCAGGGGCGGGGGTGGTGGTGGCAATGAAGATTTTCTTAAGACCAGCAGTGATCCTGAGTCTTCCGGAAGAAACATGTCGTGACCTGCCAACATCCATCTGGGAACATGTGGATGCACATAGCTGATAGGTCAATACACACAATACACATATCATTTACTATTACAAGGCCCAAAGTCAAAGGCTATCCGGAAGAAGCGGCTCACATGGTACTTTGAGTGGTGCACTATGGTGCACTCACTGAATGGATAACTAATTCTTAGAGCTACGGACGTTCCAACCCTGTTAGGGGATCTTCAGTCATCATGGGTTGTGGTTGTCAGCGGTGAGGATATACCTATGCCAATACTCTTGTGACTCTTGTGCATGCTGAGGTGAAGATCCAGGTCTTGAAAAAGCGCCGGGGCACTGAGCGAACTGGATGTCGCTGTCAAGAGACTGCTTTGATCTGGGGGGAAATGCACCATGCTGGAATCCCATGTTTGAAGTCCAAGTGCAGTAATCTTATGTAATATTTCAGGTGACGGTGATGATATGTAATAGCAACCTTGCGAACTCGACACTGCTGTGGCTTAAAGGTGGGTTGTCCCCTTCAAGTGGACCTTTTTCATTCGGGCCTTGTGCAGTGCCTGACTCCGTGACACAAGTGAGAATTGAGACACAAATGAGCTCAAACAGTATGTCGTTTGATACAGATACAGTGCAGTGCACGGTGCATAACTTGCACGTGCATGGAGTCACTTCTTTTCCTAAGAGAGCAGGGTGAAACGATGGTCACCCTTTGTATGAAACTTGGCGAATAGGGTTCCCAATTTGCAGCTCAGCCAAACAGATGCACGAACATGACCTGAGACCAAGTTTGAGCTGTAGCTGGAAATCTCCATATCTAGAAGATTTACGGAGTCTTCGCGAAAATGTTTTCCGCACTAAAACAATTGCGCCTTTAGAACAAGTGCTTGTTGATTCTTGCTTCGACTTGGAGATTGACCATGACTCTGTTCGGCCAGGCATTGCTGAGGAAGGTGCACACTCAGTGCGGGCGTCCGGGGAGCACAGTGATCACAGTGGAGGGGTAAATTTTGCAGCCAGCTGCCTTTCGTTGGAGTACATGCACGCACTGTGTGGTTGTCTAAAGCTGTTTATATCTTACCAAAGAACTTCAGCAACTTTCCGCCATGATAAACGAGCATCTTCGAAGCATGAGAGAAGAGGAATCTTCCAAATGCAACCCCCGTAGCAGTTCTACCCAAACTACCTAGCGCACCTGTTTCGGACACCCAAACTAAATAAACCTGAATGTCAATCCATGTATGATAATGTGATAATGTGTATAAGTAAACGCTGGAAGTCCAAAACAAAGCACGGGTCCAATTATTGTTTCTGAATTTACAAATTTCTTTTTATCTACGGTGAAGTTAGGACGTTCGTGGACTTTCGACTTTTTGAAAGCTTCGGTTGGTTTCAGTGACCCTCTGATACTTTCTGTTTCGGCCGGTCATCGACATGTTCTCGACCAAGGCGTCGGACCTTCGTCCAAACGAAGTTCTCCTCTCTTTGGCCGCTCCGATGGTCAAGAGTCAAGACATGTCGAGACCGAAATTCTGCACTGGAAAGCTGATAGCCATGGGACAGGGAGTGAACTCACATTCCAGATCCTTTGGTTGCTGTTCTGGTACTCAGTCTGGGCGATGGGGTGACTAAAAAACCCTTTGGCGTTGACGAGGTGCACGGTTGGCACGAATTGAGAGCTACACAAACACAGAAAACTTAACCAATCTTGGATACGTTGATAACACCAGATGGGATACACGAAACCACCTCATAATCGCCCGATGTATGTGAAGCATCTTATGGCATTCTCTTAGTGTTTGGTTAATTCAGTTCGTCTTAGGGCTTTCCGCACTGGGCGCGAAATCATACCAAACTCGATTGACCCGGACGACCTAGTGATCGAGGCAGCTCCTTCGGATGCGGCAAGATGGATCGAGCCTTGACGGAACGAATAATTCCGAATGGGCCTACGGTTGTCAGGAGAAAACGCAAGTAGGTTGGAGGCCATCGCTATTGGGATGGAGGCCATCGCTAGTAGGTTAGAGGTCAGAGAAGATCGCAGGGGGTCCAATCTATGGGACCCTCTAGGAGTCTAGGAGTATATAGAGGGAAAAAGAGAGAAGAAAAGGAAGGCGAGGCCACCTTTGATCAGGGCCCCTTTCAAGGGGGCCTTGTCCTTTTTGTGGTTGAAAGTAGTCAAAAGGGGTTCACAGTTGTTGTTGATTGTATTTCCCTCTACGTACCTCCCGAGTCTTTCCTGTATCTAACGATATCTAACGGAACCCAATTCATCGAGTTCACTGGGGGAACTAGTTCAGTCACGGCTACGTAACCCCCTCCAAGCCGCCAATAGTGAATAGACAGTTCATGAGGGAAGGTTCCAGAACATCAAATTTATTACTGGGGGTCGCCCCCATTCTCGATAGCCTGCAGGTTTGAGGACCCAGAACCCACAGAACACGTTTGATTATATAAATGTTGTCCACTTTTGAGTCCTAGTTGTCAGCTGTGTATGTTTTCAACTACACCATTGTTTTCTTGACTCTTCTGTGCGCAATGCCCTTGACCTCAACCTTGGGAACCGAAATCCCGCGCACTTTCATGGTTCTGGGTGGAGCGTTATTAAAGAGGCTTTCACGAAAGGCAGCATGCTCAAACATGAACGGGGAGGGCAACCTGCCTGCATCTTTGGGACACACATACTTTCCAGCAGCACACTTCGAGGCTCAGAGACAGACATGTGGAACGGCCAGTTCCAACATACTTCCTTGAGGCTGCAGAGGAGGCCATCGCTCCTTGTAGTTTCAACACCCAAGCGATGCGCCGGCGCTTGGCTCAGGATCACCGCTGAAGAGAACTACTACTTGACGCTTGGGTTGTGCAGGGGCCAGTGCGGGGTCAGGTCTTTCAGGGACGCGGAGGTGCACCCGGAAGAGCACAACAAGAAGCTACTAGGAACAAGTGCATCGCTACTAGTAACAAGTGCCTTACTAGTAGTAACAAGAAGCTACTAGGAACAAGTGCATCGCTTCTACTAACAAGAAGCTAGTAATGACATGACTCGGACATTGAACGCACCATGCCTTGGCCAGTTTTGACGCGCCTGGGATGCACTGGTGATGGCCTGGATCTAATATCTAGTCTATTGTGCCGGCCAGCAGTTGTGTGCTGCACAGAGGTCCAAGAACCATTTTGTTGCACGCCTCGAAAACGAGTTACCTTGAAGGGGCATTGGCCAAACATGTATTTAGCCCATGCTCATTTGTGGAACTGAGGATGATGCAATTGAGAGGTCTGCTGGATGTCCCAGGAAGCGAAAGGGAAGATGGGATGACTTTGAAGGAGTGGAAGTCTGATCCAGATACCTTAACGGTGTGAGACCATTTGATGAGTGGTTGATGGGGGTCCGGGGGTCCCAACAATGTCCTGCATGAGAAAACACTTCGGAACAAGAGTGTACAGTCTTAGAGCACCTCCTCTGCCTGGTTCATGCTGGGAGAGCGAGGGTCATACTCATTAGGTCCCGACACAAGCAAAGCTTTGTCAATCACTTGATCAAGAGGTGAGAAGATCTCGAGAGAACAGTGTATTTGCACACTAGGAGCAAGGATGCTACTAGGAGCAAAGGGCATCTCTACTAGGAGCAAGGACGCTACTAGTAGCTTAGTAGCAATGGTGCAAAAAGAGCTGTGCAAACCGATTGCTCTTCATGGTCCCACGGTCCCACGAGGCGGCTACGGCTAAGCTGCTTCGGGGAATGTCCGAAAGAAGACACAAACTAGTGGCGTCCTTGCTCCTAGTAGCGATGCCCTTTGCTCCTAGTAGCGTCCAAACTACAGAAAGTCATACATAGTGCGGGGTCTTCCACACTACCGCTTGTACTTATTCAATGCCTGTTATTAATCAATAAACAAAGGGCAAGTAAGAGGTCATGATACACAAAGTGTCATCGTAATTCAAACTCATCACAGGAGTCCCTGGTTTGCAGATCTTTGCAAAACTATTTTCAAATTGCGTTCTGCATTGAAGCGGTGCCGAGGCCATTCTTCAATGAAATTTCTTCAGATTTGCTGGAAGCCCAGACATTGCAGATATCTTCATGCAGATGTCCTATTTTTGTCGGAACTTTTGGTCTGTTGAAGCGTTTAGTGGCTTTGGCTTTGAACTTTCGGCCTTCTAGACTTCATGGCGATAGGTGCCTGACGAGGCTTCTGCGCCTTCTGGGGCTGTGAATCATGTGTGTCTATGGTGGTTCATCGATTTTCGCTTTCCAAGCTCCCAGTCTGCCGTGGCTTTGTTGCGAATTAGTAGAGTGTTTACCGGTGTTTGGGGGGTTCAGCATAGAGATGGCAAAACCACCATGTACACTGCGAATTTGGATCACAATCTCCACTTCGTACTGCGTTTCGTTTCGCAAGGCATGATGCCATCGTGGAGCAGACGACCACCCAAACCTATGTGCCAGGCGAGACGAGTTCCCTGTGGGGCGAAGTCCGCGAGTCTCAAGAGCTTTCTATGAGAACTGAGAGCTTGCATGAGCTTGCTAGCTTCTAGAGTATGCGAGCTGCTACAGGTTATTGCACTTAGAAGCGGTAATTGCAGGAACTATCCCATCACTAAGTGGGCTCACACAAAGACAATTGCTAGCTTTCCGCCAATTCGCTGAGGTGATGAGGTCAGATGTAATTTGATCAGAAGTTTCTTTCGATCTGCGTCGCAGCGTCGCATCCCGACAGGTCGCCTAGCGCTCTCTCCAAACCAACGGAGTAGTAACCTTTGGCTGCTGTCGAGAGATTCATCCTCCCTCTAGCATTTTGATGGAAGGGTTGATGGGTTACAAGGTTTGGACCGAAGTATTTAGTAAAACACCCCAGCAGCTTCCTTGGAGGCAACGTCGCTCCAAGGGTTCAAGGGTGCTGGGACCTTGGCAGCCTTGGCAGGTGGCTACCTTTTCCAGGAGGGGGACGATGCCAACAGCTTGTTTTTGATCCTGACTGGTCAGGCAAGCTCGTGTCGTTCAGCTTGAGCTTGAAATAAGTCTCCTTATATGTTGTATCTCAACTGGCCCCAGGGATCTAACTTGGGTGCTGCTTCCTGGTGTGGTTTTTGGTGAGACTGGAAGCGGGTTTCCCAACTACAAGCCACGTGCTGTCAAGCAACTGTACTGAGAGCCTCAATTAGCAGACAAGTTTCTACACTCTTGAGCATGGCAGCCTTGGCTGAACGAACAAATGCGAGACGGCTGACTACAGGGACTGTATGGCAACGGGGATACAACTGATGTAGCACGGTTTATTCAATTTGTGTTTAAGATATAATATAATACCCAATATGAAGTCATCAACAGGTCTGATGCTGAGTGGCTTAAAGACAATTTTTTGTTAAATGCTGCTTTTGAAGAACACAGACTATCATGATCCTCCTAAACTGTCAACCATCCACATATCTATGAAACAGATCTTGCACACCCAAAGAAAGCTCAATCAGGCAATCCTCGTGCACTCAGACCAGGTAAACCTCCGCAGCGAGACTCATGTGGCCATGGCCTACGACAAGGTCAAAAGCGCTCCAGTACTGTGGCTTGGATGACGTTTGAAGAGATTTGTTCGAACAACAGATGAAGAAACAACTTAAATAGACTGGCAGTTGGAACTGGATTTGGAAAGAACACTCAAAACTCTGTGTTTTGTTCATTCCAGTGCGCCCCATGGATTCTTGCTTGCGGTGAATTTTCTTGGACGGGCTGAGAAATACATGCGTAGATGAACTGCAAAAAAAATAGATGCCTATTTCATGACATCCCTTTTGCGCAGCAGTTTCAAGAGACGCCGAGACGCCTGTGAAATGTGAAACGCCACCTGAAACAAGGCACCGTGTCAGTTGAGATCATGTTACCTGACAGTCTTAATTAGTTGAACATCTGGCAAATCAAGAACTGCACAAATGTGCATACATCACCTACTTAGTAAGGACTTTTTGGTGGCAGAGAGAGTCAAATAGAGTACAATACAACTGTGTTCTACGATAGAACTGATAGAACTCTCAAACGTTCAATCTGAGCAAGTACCCGACTCTTGGCAGTTGAGACCACGTTGCCGACCGATGAGACCACTACACATCCGCCATGTTACATGTAGGGAGTTTTGCAGCTTGTTTTGTAGATGAATTGCCTTTGGCTAACCGGCAAACCGTTTGTTTTTCTGGCTGCGTTCCTTTGACCATCCCTGGGCTTTCGTTCAACCAGGTTCGTGAAATCCTGTGTGTTGATCATCCCATGTGTGAACCTCATGTCGGGCAATATCCGGCTTGCTTTTTCTTTTGGTGGTATCCTAGAAACCGTACATTCCTGGGACAACTGCGGCGTCAGAGTTATTCAAATCACGTCAGATTTCTCGACAGCGAGGCTCTTGCCGCAAGACCTCTTCAGCCAGTCTCGTGGTCCGGGACATCAGTCAACTCTCATGGGCTCCCTGCTACTCCTGGCATCGCTACTAGGAGCGAGGACGCTACTAGGAGGTGAAGTCGAAAGCGAGAGAAGATGAGAGATTGGTGAGAAGGTGCGACAGAAATCCGTTTATCGGTACACAGTATGTTCGCTTGGGAACGCTTGGGAAAGGTTGAGGGTACTGGGGTCAGTGGAACAACGCCTTAAACTTGTGCTTGTGGCAAGTTGCCCCAGCTTTTTGGAGATTAGATGATAGGAAGTTTTGTTGAAGAGGATCACATTAACAACACCCACCACAATCCCCAAAAAATTTAGGTTGCACCCTTTAGCTTGCTGCAACGGCACTTCTTTTGTTTGAATGAAAGCGGTTTTTGGAGGTGACAAGCAAGTACAGAACTGGTAGGTGCCAGCCACTCCCTGAGTGTGTCAATCTTTGTCAGAACGAGGTCCTGTTCTGCAAAATGAAGGATGTGTCCTGCTTTGAAGATTTCATCATGTCGGTTTTCTTCACGTCGGGCCAGCTATAGCTGATCAGACCAGGTTGTGTTTTAGTGGTTGCAAGCTCGTTGTGGCCCCCTTGAGGTCAACCCTTTGTGCTGCGCAAGCAGAAGGATCGCATCCGCACGCAAAGCGTTTGGGGGCCCAGCGACCCGGTCTTCGGGAATGATTCCATGGGAGAACTCTGAAGTTTAGGGGATAGATAAAGACAGTTCATGAAGTTCCTCAGTTCATGGAGTGCAGGACGCTTTGACCCCACGCGCATCATCCAAGCATTGTTTTGGAACATGGAAGTGTCACCACGGACCAGTCACTTACCAGGAAAACCGACTTCAGGAGCCTGGAGGGAGAGAATGAAAGGAATAGTAGAGGAAACTTAGGAAAAGGGAAATAGTGTTTGCCTTTTTGTGGTCAAGCGCTCTACTATAGTTAGTAAAGTACATGTAGCTGTGCTCAGTCCGGGGAGCTGCAACTCAGACGCAGGCCAAACCTTTTCTGCTTTGATAATTTCACTGACCGCTGATGTCAGGGACACGACCTGTGAGCGAATGACTTGTATGACTAGCTTCTTCGTATGTCATGATCCCCGGCACTGTCATGCTCCCAGGCGGTCGCCAGCCTCCGCAACACTGCTACGAGTGCTGAGCTGAGCCGGGTGGAGAGTGCAGTCCAGGGAAATGGAGATGCCCTGAGTGAAGATCACCCGAGGCCGAAAAGCATTTTGCGACCGTCTCAGTGATGTATGTGCAGACCACTAAGACTAGGAATTGAACGGAATTTTGGAGCGGAAGCAAAACCTGCATGATGGAAGGGCCTTTTCAATGGTGCCCCAGGTTTCCCTTACGGTTCTAGTGGTTGTCAGTATGTGTTCAGCATGGTGCGAACGGTCTTGCCATATTGTGAGGCGAAGGCTCAGGGGGTCCCTCTACCACGGTGGCCTTCATCTTCCCCGAGAGCATCCTGGAGTTCGTCGGGAGCCTTGAGACTGGAGCATTGGTGGACTGACCGGACCGGAGCGAGAACGCCTGCAGACTTGCCAAGGTGTGAGTAAGAATCCCACCTCCTTCATTGGAAAGTCGTACCATATCTCAGACCGAGACCTATTTGCTGCTACCCTTCAATCTTTGATGCGCTGCAAAACTGTTGGGAAGTTTGTGCTTTTGGCCAGCTGTATTCACGAAAGGTAGCTTGAGTTACCTGAGTTCTCCTTGCTTTAGCAAAAATGTATTACAATCAGGATTTGGTGATTTGCATTGAGTTTGGTCCTGTAAGAAGGGATTCTGTTCGACGGGGAATCCCCCCTGCGCCGTCACTGTTTGGGTCCCATCCATCCACCTTTGACGCCGTCATTGACTTCTACCAGGGTTACTTGTGATTGCCTTCTACCTTTCGTTGACCCCCTTTTCTCTCAAGTTTGGTTGGGGCCAACTTCCGTCTCCCCACACAAAGGCTTGACAGTTGTTTGGGGTTGTCGCTGGAGTACAATACAGTGTCCTTCACCTGGTCTTCATCATCCTGATGCCAAGAAGCGCACTAAATTTCAAGTGGAACTCTTGCAAACTACCTCGTCCGAGGTGTCCAAACACTTTCGGGAGAAGGAGGCACTGATGGAAGGGGCATTTGCACTGGGAGAGAGGCCACTGGCAGAAGAATTGATGTTTGAATATCGGGATTCAATCTGGTTTGTTACCCATATTAATGGTGTAGGGTGTGCTGCTGCTGGATAAGTGCTGTGGAGATCCCCTCACTGGAAGTATGGCTTGCAAGGCACAAGAGAGGGAGAGCATAGCGGGGGCGCAGAGTTACATTGTTGAAAAGTAACCAGTCACCCAGCCTGAACATGACCAAGAGGCATTGACATCGATACCACGGCTTGTGTTCTATTCCAGGCCGAAAACCGTTGGCACATCGTGCGGCACTTCGCCAAGCAGCAGAGACTCTCTGTGCAGGTGTGAACGGAATTTGTTCCCGGCGAGCGTGCATGGAAACTGATCTTGCAATTGAGGTTTGAAAGATAATTCTGGTATTCTCTATCAGGGAAGCTCATCAACAGGGATCAAAGCTTCGGTTTTGACAGGTTTAAAGTTTGAAGGCTCCACGAAACAACAGGCCGCAAAAAGCAATCTATTAGGTTGGAGGAGGCCATCCCTATTAGGTTGGAGGCCATTGCTACTGTAGTAGGTTGAAGGCCATTGCTATTAGGTAAAAAGCAATTTGCTTGTTGACACAGGACTTGGACCACCTGTGACAAACACTAGCCTTTGAAACCCTGGCATCGTAGAACTTCTGGGCGATGACTGCATGGATCCTACAGTCTTGATGCGCATCCCATTGCATCCGCTTTGCACAGGGTGGCCCCAGCTACAGTAGTTGCGGGTGACAAGGTCCCACAAGCTTCAAAGTTTGTGTTCACTTTTTGCAGGGCTTGTCGTTGGTCTTGGGGGCCACCGTGATACAATCTCCTGGTGACATTTCCAGTTTGGGGGAATTGTTTCGGTGCTGAACGGCTTGCTGCCAGGTGTGCTCTAAGCACCAAGAAGTCTTCCAGGTCATGGCCTTCCCGAGGATGTTGCGCAGACGGTCCCCGATCGGAGCATAGACACGATTCGCAGGTAAGTAAACCGCTCCGTACGAATCATAAAGTCCTCCCAAGGTAAATAACAACATTCCGCTTGAGAACTCGGTGTTTTGTGTTCCCTAAATGTGTAAGTTTGTTCAATTCGTCCAAAAAACATACAAAACCTGGGTGACTCAGGTAACTTCGGTAAGTCACCACGAAGTATCCGTTTTGACTCAAAGTGCCGGTTCAGCCATTCCTAAGTGGTCGTTTCAGGTTCCAGGTACATGACTGTCCTTCAAGCACGACGCGGAGCCGTGAGAGCCCAATGTGAGAACGATGCCAATGTTCATGAGAACGGTGAAAAAACATGGCTCATGGCAAAACTGTTGAACATGGTGACCAATGGTTTTGGCGACGAAGCAACATCGTGGTCAACTTCATTCACAAAGCAATCATGTTCAATGGCGATAGCTCGATGCCGATAAAACAGCAGCAATACAGTATGTCAAAAGGAGAGTGGGTTTCCGGAAATTTCCTGCAACATGTTTATGATGATGCAGTAGAAATAATCAAGACACTGGCGTTGTGGAATGTAAGAACATGCAGTCTTTCAGTGAAACGACCAATTTCAAGGTGCTTACTTTAGCGAAGAGGATGATAACATTGAGGTTGCAATTGAGAGGTTTGTTGAAAAGTGCACGACTAGCATAGTTGATCACCCGCCAGCAAACCTCAGATCTTCCAGTCAATATTTATTTTGTTATAATGAAGGCCAGAGGTTGAAGATGTATCCCTGTTGGAGGACAGACACCAACTGACAACCGACACATATCCACAAGTCCAAAGGGCATCGATTGATGTTGGTGTGCAAACCACGGGCGCCTCCCACCAATCAACCGCAGGACATGCTCTATAGACGGCAAAACGCCTTGTTAGAAGTTGTTTTTGGGAGGCAAGTTCCATGTGAAGCCTCAAAAACACACTCTAGTGACTCTAGTATATGATCCAAAGACGGGACAGGTGCTACCAACAAATCCTACACCTATGATCCTGCTTTGATGTGGCACCCGGCACCGCTCTCTCCCTCTCTCCCTTGGAGGAGCTATTTGTTCATCAATGCCGGCAGCAAACCACCGTTGGAGGCGGGGCTGTTCACTCACAGGCTTTTGGACGTTGTGAAAGTGAGTCTCTGTACATGCTTGACCACTGCCCTGCATTCTGGAGGGAAAAGGGTGAAGACTTTGACCGTGGTAAACTGGTGAGGGAGCGCAGCACAGTACAAGAGGTTGAGTGTCTGGGGTGAAACAGACGGTGTAAACTGGGAGGATCTCCAGCAACTTGAGCTCAACAGCAGATTCATTGCCTTATTGGAAATTTGAAAGGGATTTTGACGGAGTCCGTTTGTGATTTTGTGGCTCCAGGCTCTACGTGATGTTCTTAATGAATTTAATGATTTCCATCAACATTTCGCGTGTCATCACCTGATATGACATGCCTCGAGTTTTGCAGTGGTACCAACGATGGGTGATCATTCGACCCCACGGCAGACGAGCTTGCATCACCGGTTTGAGGAGCTTTTGTTTGTACTTGATTCAGTGTAAATCGAAAGAAATACCAGTTCTCCAGCACCGTACAGCAATTGTTGGAATTACTGTTCTCTTTATTGGGAGTTTTACATTAACACCAGTCTTTGTCAAATATCATTGGATGGGGTTCACATGAATCGGTATGCTTTGAAGCCGTTCAGGAGGCTCACCTCTACTTCGTCATGGAGGGGGAGTTGGCACCCTAAGCGGAGACAGGGGAGACGTTATGTCAGAGATGATCCACCTCACCTGCACGTGTTTGTGTATTTGTATTCATTTGCTGTTCACGTTCACCTGATGTGTAGCAATTGAGGAACTGTGGAGTGTCTCATTTTTACGACCGAATACACAAAGCCGATTCAGCTGCTGAAGAACCGCTTTCGGAATCTAAGTGTTCCAAGCAGTCACTGGCTTGCATTTACTCCACAGGCCCCTGAACATGCTCCATCAGGGATACGCTTCACGGTGTAAACTTGGATAAACTTGGTGACTGAAATGACTGGTAGATCAAAAGCTCAGTCCCCTCGAAGAGCATGGTGAAAAGAACAAGGCATCAAGGGTCTCTTATTCAAGACGCTTCGCGTCGACAGCCGCCCACACCGCGCACGAACAGCCGAAGTTAGTGAAATGGAAGTAGCCATCTAGGCGCCAGGTTGGGGACAAGTGCAGCCATCGGCGCCAGGTTGGCTGTCTTACGGCTGCGTTGGGCCAACTTCGTCTACCTTGGGGCCCACAATGGTGATATAACTCCGGCCTTGCCAAAAGCCATCGAAAAATACACCTCCAAAACGCTCTCCCCAGTGGCCCTGCAGCCGAGCAAGAATCAACGCAGCAACCACCCCAAAGCACAAAAACTCCTCCAAAGCGCTCTCCCCAGTGCCCCTGCAAGCACGACGTAACGAAAAATCGGCCAAAAATGTACCTCCAAAACGCTCTCCCCAGTGGCCCTGCAGCCCAACCATGGCCGCGCACGCGCGAAAAAAAAGAGCGCCCCGCCCTTGCAAAGCTATTTGCATAGCAGCAGAGCTTAAGAGCCCCAATAGCACGCCCTGCACCGACAAGCGGTGTGGGCAGATTTTCCTCGATTCCTGCTGATTCGCCGGCCGAAGCAACAAGAGTTGCCAAGTCAGCAGAAACACCCACTCACAAGCTATTGTCCTTGGCCTTCACTTCCTCGGGTGCACAGATTGTGGGAAGCAACAAACAAACATTGGGTGTGTTCGGGTGTGTTTGGATAGTAAGTTGAGCGGCTTCGACTTCGGATGAAAAGTTGACATTATCCTATGAAAACAGCCTGTCCATTTGGAGATGAGGCTGTCAGTGGTCTATCCTGTGAGGACTGAGCTCATTGTGTGGTTTTGTGTGGTCCGAAGCCATTCTACACAAAGTTACTGAACTCAACATTTGTAGAGAGAGAGAGAGAGGAGGGACTGAGAGGACGACGTATTACGACCAAATTGGGCAGAAGATACTTGCTCGGTGCCTAGGAGACTTGTTCTCCTTTCCTGAATGTGGGAACCGTCACAGCTTATTAAATGTGTCGACCCCATACAGTGGGTTATCCAAGTTGTTCCAGTGAGCAGAAAAGACTGTTTGCAAGTCATTGCGTTGGAGGTCTCATTCAGGTTGTTTGGTGGCTAGGTTTCACGCACTTAGATGAGTGCGAGGGTTCAGTTCTCAAGGATCTGCCAAATCTAAACAATGCGTACATATGCGAACACCTGGACCTAAACTTGCGAAGTCAACATGCTTTCAATGTTCATGGTGCTTTGCATCCTTTTTTGCCAGGAAGGACTCCCTAGGCCGCTCATCTGGCAAGGCTAGCACGGTGGCTTCTGTCCTTTGAAGCTATATACATCGGAACTCTTTGATTGAGGAGGCGACTAAACCCAAGCTGGCAATGCAATGCAAGGGATCATGTAAGTGACATTGACCGGGTCTTCCTCCCCAGCGAGCAAGACTCACATGTAAGAGGTAATCTAGTTGAGGAGCCAATACCACAAAGGGGATTTGGCATTATGAATCTGTTGGGGTTGGAGTGGAAAGCTTGGGATCTTCTTCTGAAGACTGCCAAGATGAAAGTGTAGAAATGGACTCCGAACCTCTCTTATCAGCACCGGCATCAGTCGCCGCAGCACGATGCTGCGTTTGTCTTTGTGGTTTGCCTAAATATACATATATAATCATATATATATAGTTATAATCTACATTAATCTACAAATATATAACTATATATACACATAAGCTTCTTCAAATTGTGTGGTTGCAATAAGTATTGCCCTGACTGATCTAGTCTGGGATGGAAGCTCTTGGTGAAACTCCAGAGCCCCGTCTCACGAACACTAAGTCCGAGATATGCATGCACCAGAGTCACCGAGAAAATTCCCTCAGCGATCTTGTTGCTGGCACCAGCCAGGCGAGAAAGGAGACCGTGGGCAAAGGCTCCTTGATTGGAGAGGCATCGCATGTTGCTAATCGGAGCGTTACCTTTTTCTGACTGATTCTTCAAACCCTCACAAAGCGAGCAGCTCAAGCATTTTGCTGAGGAACATTGCCTTCTCCCGTCCTTTGTTAGGGCCTGTCAGGGCCATGCTAGACTATTGAATCGTCCGAGTTCACCCGGAGATACCCGGAGCAAGCTGAGAGGCGGCTCTCTATGGGGAAGCATATCCGCATCTAGATCGCAAGAATCAGAGATGTGGGAAGGGTTTTCATATGGTTTCATGGTTTCTATGGGACCTCAAGGGCATTGATGAGCATTGTCAAGCGATGGGTGTCCGTTCTAGTTCCATTTTTGCGTTTTGGACGTCTTCGATTGGATAGCAATAAGTTTCTTCTTTACCCTTGAAGCACCAGCCAATGCAGAGGGAATCTAAACCTGTTTAAATACAGTTTTCAGGGGTCACCTGGGCATGGCAACAGCAATTTTTAGACCGCCTGCATGATCATCAAAGCTGCTTTTCTTCCTGAAGTTGATCTATTGGCCCGGTGAGGTTGCCTTGAGGTTCTTAAGCGGCAGATGGATGGTTGCAGATTATGGTGAACTCCCAAGCTTCTATTCGTATCTCCATGCGCCGGCGTTTGCCCAACATTTAGATGTATTTTATTGACTTGCGCTCTGGATAGTTGGCTCATGTGAAAATTGTCGCATCCACTGCGCCACGTTAGCTCTTTGCTGGCCATTCTGCACTGGATGGAATTCCTCACAGTGAGGGTAGTATTTGTATATATATACATATACATATAGTTATATATATATATACATATATACATATATATATATGTATACATATATATATATGTGTTTTTTTGCTTGAAGTGCTGAGTGGCGATCCCAAACAAGTTGAAATCTCCCACCGAGAAGTTTGCAGCCGGTTGACTAGGTGTGCGGTGGTCTCCACATCCGAAGTGAAGGCAAGCACGGGAAAGTGATGGGCAGGAACCTGATCTTTGCAAGTCTCAACATTTCGAACTCGGACTTGTTTGGTACATACATGTTACATGATATTACAATGATAGATCATGAATGATCATGATAGTGCTAAAAATACAGCAATCCTATCAACAAAGTGTATTGAGTTTGTTTGTCTCTGAACGGGTGTGGATTGCCACGGAAGCCTTGTTGAGGTCTTGGTTCTGACGGCCTCGGACTATCTGCACCAGCTCATGAACAGGCACTGACCTCTCCGGCTACCCTTGGAGCCTAGAAGTGCACAACCCACTGCTTTGTTGGGATGTTGGAGTGGAATATATATATATATATAACCACAGCTAGAGCATAGTTTTGCATGATCACGAAAGCTAGCATGCTAGCTGAGTTTTTCTTTGCTTTAGCAATGTTGCGGTGGGAGGGGCTGCGTGCCTTAAAGATTGATATATCAAGCTAACCCCCCCCCCCCCGCGGTTCAACTCCCAGCTGCGCCGCTTCGCTTATTGTTGTGGTGCATACCACCATTCCACTGAATGAATTGCGTGATAGCTCTGCTGGTGTTCAGACAGCGGCAAGGTGTGCATATGTTTGTGCAATTGTTTGCATACGGTGAGCACGCTCCATTTCACCTCCATGCTACGTCGTTCCTTCAGCCTCCGTCCAGGGTTGGCGTCGTTTTGCTGGTTCGAGTGGCTCATTCAATGCAGAAGTTAACAAACTGATAGGTATAATGATAATGAGTTGCGTGTATACTTGAGATCATTTGAGGTAGTTCATGCTTTGCTACTTGTTGCGGCTTGGTGCTGCTGCTGCTGTTGCTGACGACGCCGCTGCTGCTGCTGCTTGCTGCTTGCTGCCGGTGGTGCTGCTGCTGCTGCTGCGGCTTGGTGCTGCGCTGCTGCTGCGTGGTGCTGCTGGCTGGCTGCTTGGCGGTTGCTGCTGGCTGCTGGCTGCAGGCGGCTGCTTCTGCTGCTGCTGCTGCTGCTGGCTGCTGCTTGCTGCATAGGACTTGTACTTCACCCTTACAAGTTGTTTACCCTATTTCTAACCTAGTGCATGCATAAGCGGGTGGTAAATTTACTCCCAAGGCTTGCTATAACCATACACAGGCTATTTCCTCAAGACACTCTATTCCTGATACCTTTTACATCCTTTTTACCAGTAATTATCCTGCACTACGGACGCCCTAGTGTATGCACAGTCCTTGTGATGCTTACCCCTCGTTCCGGCTCAAGGCATACATAAGCGGGGGGTAAATTTACCCCCCAGATTTGCCATAACCATAAGCCGGTTATTTCCTCAAGACACTCTGCTCCTTATACCTTTTACCAGTGCTTGTCCTACACTACGGACGCCCTGGTGTTTGCACAGTCCTTGTGATGCCAGAAATGCTTACTCCTCTTTCCGGCACAAGGCATACATAAGCGGGTGGTAAATTTACCCCCCAGATTTGCAATAACCATAAGACGGCTATTTCCTCAAGACGCTCTATTCCATACACCTTTTACCCGTGCTTCTCCTACACTACGGACGCCCTAGTGTATGTACAGTCCGTATGATGTCAGAAATGCTTATCCCTCAAGGCATACAAAAGCGGAGGGTAAATTTACCCCCCAGATTTGCCGATCACGCATCTTCGTGCCTGCCAACGAGTGCACCCGGGTTGTTCCAATGTACCCTTCCCAGTCCCAGTCAGCGATGTCACATTTACATTCTTTAGCGCAAAGTATGTACATAGCAACCTTCCTCCCAGAACATGTACTCACTACATGCTTTGCCGACTATGTGACTAGTACATCCGGTGCGATTCGGCTAGCTTTCGACCTCCTCCCCCTGGCCTCAAGTGTGGTTGTAACTACAGAAGACAACAAATAGATACAAATAGAAAAGTACCCCTTTTCAATTGATGATAGGAACACCGGTCTTGTTCATCCGATGTATGACCATAGTAGCCTTGCTCAAGAACCAATCCTCCGTCTCTGCTGGCAGCCCTTGGACAGGCAATGATTAATATTCGGCCTGAGGTTCACTCTCTCTTCAATGCTATTTGACACGAACTCTTGAAGCCATGGAGTTAAGGTCCAACATACCTGCGATTCATGATAAGTCGCTTCCGTCTCTTTGGCTTTCCTGCTATAGGATTTCTATTCGTTCTCCCATGACCAGCGCAATGTGCCACTCCTGTGCTTCTCAGACTCCATGGAGTTCAGCTACTTTTGCCAGGTCTTCTGTGCTCTCACGGCCCGAAGGCTATGTGCCACCTGAAGGCTGCTTTGCGCATGATGATTGTGACACTGTGATGACCTACAGTGGGATTCAGATCACATATGATTGTATCGGTATTGGTCGGCCATAATATGTGGCAGAATCTCTTGCAGAACTAGAGTCATGTGTGATGTTTGTTTGGAATGTGGCTTCAGTGCTACTTTACTACCTTTGCAGAAGCTGCTTTTGCCCCACGCTTGCAAGCTGTGCAAGCTGCATGAGGACCAGTGGGAGATGCTGCTCAGGTGAAAGGCGCGGAGGGATTCGAAACTTGAGAAGAGGATTGACATGGTTTTTCGGTGTTGCCACACTTAGATCCATGCTCGCAAGAGCTCTATCAGTTATGACTTCCACGTGAAGCTAGCACTTTACGTTACTGAAAGCTAGACCTTGACTTGCAGAACGGCAAGAGTGCTGGGTCGGCAAAACTGAATTGTTGGAACATCACGCTTTAGCACTTTACCGAAAATTGGGGTAACAGCTGGGTCAACAGTTCAAAAAGAAGAAGTTAAAATTGCGCAGGTACACAGGAGTGATCAGCTCCCGCTTCCTGGAACTAGTGCAAAGAGCTTCGTTGGGCAGAGCCTTGCACATCCTCTCTCCCCCCCTGCGATTTTGCACAAATGAATACACGAGGTGTGGTCGTTCTCCTTCGGTACAGGAGGTGACACATACACCATCATCATCATCATCATCATCATCAGCATCAGCAGCAGCAGCAGCAGCCGCGTCGGCAGCGGCATCGGCATCAGCATCAGCACCATCACTATCACCATCACCATTTTCTGAGACATGTATTTGAGTTGGTGTCCGTCTTGCGGATTGAGAAGGCCTTTGTGCAAAGACACTATATGCCAGTTGCATTCAATCAACCGCGACAATGCAACCGCTACTGGTAGGCATCGCTGAACTCAACTCTTTGGTATTGCTGGAATTAAGAATCACTACACCCGAGAACGAATGAGAAGAGCTGTCCAGAAACTGGGACTTGGTAACGGAGTTGTAGAAATTCAATCACAGTGATGGAACCTTTGGCGCACTGTTCTTCACAATCGTGCCAGCAATATTCTGTGCCCGAAGTGACAACTCCGAATTGATGTTTGAGAATGTCTTTCCAGAATCAGAAGTCTGATTTGCTCTTTTCTCGCCAGTGATGTGCTCAGTTCACTTCAATTGTACCCCGAGGGCAGGTCACACTTCCATAAATGGACGATATTGCTGAACATCAAGAAGACAAGTCGCATCAATGTAGTGACCGGACTGAATTCTTACGGTGAAGACTAGGTGACTATACTTACTGTACTCTATAGATACAAATCGAAGAGGCTTAAGGCCTTCAGTCAAATGAATTCTGAAGGTGGACTTTGCATCAGCATTGAAAGAACTTCCTGTGGGTGATATCGGGTCCTAAGTTGGCGAGGCCTTCGGTGTCCCGTGATCCTTGTCGTTTGAAGTGGTGTGTATTGCCAAAACTGATCTGTCAAACTGAGACGCTCCATCTTATCCCCAAGTTGGTCCTCCAAAACATCATTGGTTCATATTGACATCCAGTGCCGATTCCGGAGACTCAGTGGCCACACGCAGTGGATGCGTGTGGACCAGAAACCGAAGACCTGGAACATCCCACCAGGCCGCCGAAAACTCATCCAAGAGACCACCTCCTTCACGGCAAAGACCCTGAGGCTGGACGAATGAATACATGAATGCATGGATTTACATGAATGATTTCAGTTGTAGCTGTGCTTTTGCATGCAGGGGATGACAAGTTTGCTTTGATCGCCACCTTGTTGAAGCTTCTTTTTCTGAGCTTCCAAGTCCAAAACATGTTGAAATCCATCAGGTCCCATCAGTGCATTTCAATGGACCCACCGAGACGAGTTTAGGCCGGAAATGATTTGAGGCAGTGAAGGGATCTGTCTTTTCTGACTCAACTACAGGACCCCTCATCACTTAGATTCCTCTGCGCAATAAGACCGATTCGCATGACTATGAGGCTCAAGAAAGACCAGGTTCACGTGAAGGCAGGGATTGCAGAACGAACCGGCCATGAATGGGTTGGGTGGATCAATGAAAGATGCCTAGTTTGTCACAGAGGCAAAAGGGTTCTGCAGCGAAGGGAGTTCCATTCAGTGTCTAGACAAAGTAGAAGTGAATGAACGGTAGCTTTCACTTCGTACATCTTGGTACCTATGTTTTAGCACCAGGCCACCAATAGTTGGTTGTTCTAGCACCAGGCTATGAGGCCACAAGGGAGCATTCCCAAACAAGACGTCCAACGACGCCCTTAAGCCTTCAAAGCACCTCCTGATGGAGTAGACAAGGCACAAGCTTTAACAATGGGATTAGAAGCGGAGTAGTAGCGACGAACACAACAAAACCACAATTATATACAGTATTGTATCAAGATCGAAAACATTCAGACTGACACGAAAGCCAGAGCAAGAACAAGAAGCAAGCCGCCCCTGTCTGGGTGGAGTTGGGCTGTGGATCGACAACCTAGCTATATGCCCCGCATATATGACTATTCCTGCAAAACGTCTCTCGGCGGCTGGTGCCCTGTCATTTCCTGCAGTTGCCTTTCCTAAGGCCTTCAAAAACCCAGAGCGACCCGGAACATAGCTCACACAGTGTCCCTGCTATAACACAGCTGATACTTTTTGAGATCTTCACTTCACAGCCACTGGACGAGCCCAAGCACCCAAGGCCCCTCGGTACATGTTCCAAAGGGCAAAAAGTACCGCCTTACACTCGAAGGACCGAGAGTGGAAGGCCTTGCAACTTCGAGCGGAGATGCCAAGCAAAGTGCCGTTGGGCGACCCAGGCAAGCGAAGTCAGTTGGACCGTTAGGGCATATTAGGGTATATTAGGATATATTAGGGTCATTATGGGTTGAATCTGATTAAAATTAAGCATGTTCAACACTAAGCGATGATGTTCGCCCTCTTGGCAAAGCAAGTTGGTTCCGGATTCCAGGAGTGATGGAGTTCTTCTTGTAGTTTTGGCAAGACATATCGGGATTGTCGTACAAACGATTTCCAAGGTGTTGAGCAGAAGAAACGAAGGTCGAGCTCACAGGGTTTGGCAGACCCTCAATTCAGCAGATTCGTAGGCATTGAAACCGGGCTTCGTCCCGGTTTCACCAGTTCGTACCAGTTCACGTCACTTCTCCCAGGCCTGGTGGTCATCATCGCTTGCTCTCGATGGCCAAGAACCAGGTATCTCGAAAATCTCAGGAGGTTCTGGATCATCCCGAAAAGCTAAAGACTGTTTCATGTGTTTTTCCATTTTTTCATGGGTCAGCCGCCCAGAATCGCTGGGTCCAGCTTGCTTGTGGATTTGGATAGGCAACGTGAAGCAGTCTACCCACATGTGATTGCTGCCATAACAAAGGGTTTTGAATGAGCACAAATGAGCCATGCCATAAACCTACTTGCTTGTAATGGGCCTTGTCATAAGAGCTTGGTGCGCAAGGGAAGCACTGCAGTGCGCAAGGTTGCGTAAGAGTTTTTGCGCGCAAGCTTATTTTGGTGTTTGTTGTTTTGCAGTTTGCATTTGATGTTAGAACTGCGTGGAGCAATATGGAGAAGCTTTGGTTGAGGAAGTTTGTTGTGTTTACTGGTACTTGATCTTAGCTTCTCTTGGGAATTCTTTGTTGGGGTGCCATGGTGTTGACTTGTTATCTGATAACTTCTCATGATCTTTCCAGGGCCGGACGAACAACTTGGAAGAAGTTCCTGAGACCTTTGTGCAGAAGGCAGCTGAGAATCCGAGGGAGACTGACATGAAGGAGGAGGAATATTGATGTGTAATTATTGGGTAAAGGATGGTATTGTTAAAATGTGGTTCTTCACGATTCATCAGTATTTTGACAAGCAGACCAGCAGTTGCGAGAGATGTTGGGAGCCATGTTCCTTGTTGATAAGTGATCTCACCAAATATGTATGTGTTCAACAAAGTTTTACAGTTTCACATCCTTGTGGGAAACATGTCATCTTCTACATACATATACTGTATATAATCCTCATCGTCCACTACGTAACCCCGCCAACGTTGGTTTGATCAAGCCCCGGTTTGTTTGATGGTCAAGAGAGTTGCAACAGAATTGCCACCTGAGCAGTCGATGTTTTGTGAGGCCACACAGTCCAGAAGTTGCTAACTACAGACTGCCCTCGAATCTTTCAACGAGCCACTTGCTTTTGGACATGAAATCCAAAGCGCTACTTTTGAAGCCTTTGAACAGATTTACCGTATAATAGTTAAAGATCTGATCTGTTAGACACTTCCTACATGTGAAGGATGACATTCTGACAGAAAACCCATCCAAGACTCCGCTCTTTGTAAGGTGCCCGTGATCCCGGACGCGGGCCGTTCCGGAGATGGATATCTGACGCAGCCTGGCATGCTGGTGGAGTCTTCGGTGAGCAGAACCCCAAAAACCCAAGGGCCGTTGGATGTTTTCCTTTGGAAATTTGTTGCGGACTACAGGGAAATCACTGAAGAGGCAAAAAGGACTCCTACGATGTGTGGACCTTGAGGTTACTTTGCTGACCTTAGTCGATTCAGAGATGCCTGTATTGAGAAACCATGGGAAGAGCAAAAACAACCGCTGACCATGCATTTACAAAGCAATGTTAGAGATCAATGCATTTGTTTGCTTTAACATCACCCTTGCTGCTCAAATCGGATCATTTAACAGCAGACCTTGTACAATTGGCAAGAACACCTCCTGAAGTTCTGCGAGTCTCTAAGACTCTAGCACTACCAAGGAACCGCAGACAAATACCCCAACGGCATGCTGGCAAGATTTCTTTGCGCGTTTTCCTGTGTTCACCATGCTTTGGAGATTCTAATCACGCAGTATGTTAGCATGGTTATTTTGATCATGCAAGAAGATCACTGCTGCATGACATGTACCACCATCATCCCTCGCATATTTTGATATATTTTGCCACAACTACACAACTTGTTTTCACCGTGGATGGGCTGCAAGGTGGGCTTAGGTTCGGAAATTTCACCTGAATGAACACTGAAAGGAAAAACAATGTCCGTTCGAGATGTCAACTAGCGACCTGGATAGAGTAGCACTTCGCACAAAAAGGGAAGACCAGTTTAGTCCAACCAAAATTCAGTTCCAGTGAATGTAGATTTGGGATGTTCTTTCAAGGTTCTTTTTCGGGTCGTTTCATTTAACTATATATCACTTGCGTTTCACATCATTTCATCATTTCACATCATGATTGCTACCCAGGCCCATTAGCAGATGAGTTACCAAAAGCACGCTGAGGCGCTCGATGAACCAAAAGCTTTCCAGCACTTCTCGAGACCTCCAACAGCTTCAGGCGACTTACGGTCTTACGTTGTCCCAATTTGGTCGGCTCGGACGAACGTAACTCAGACTAACTCGGACTGACTGTCAATCCGGAGATCACTTGAACTGCTGGGAGTGTATCTTCAATAAAGTGAAGATCAGATCATGTGCTTCAAAGCTCCAGTGTCGTCGTTTTTGAGCAGATATTGTTTTCCTTTCGCCAAGTCACAAAGATCCATTGTGAACCATGGCTTTTGTGGCTGGCAGGCTGCCCATCGTTCCCACACCGCCTTCCACTACCACGTGGAGGAGATGCTGTGCCATTGTGGTTGTTGTGGGTGAAGAGCCAACAGGCAAAAGTAAGCCCTACGCTGTTGGGGGTTTCTGTAAATGCCTCCATGGTGCCAGCATTATATACCTTAACACGACAAATGATGGCGTACATGTTTGGCCAACAGAAGAAGAGAGATTCTTGATGACCATTGGAACTTAGTTGTATAAGTGATTGGGCTTGCATGAACCTTGATTCTATGCCAAGCATAAATTATGATTTCGTGTGTTTGTTCGATTTCATTTCGCCTTGGTCCACAGGAAATTGGTGGGTCCCCGCCTCCTCGTGCGCGGGTCTTGAGCGTTTCTCCAGGAGCTGCGCCGGGGGGTTGGTAGAGGGCAGACACCGAGAGCAGGCCTTTCATTAATTGAACATGATGCCTCCACAGAAACTAAAACTCTAATAAATATGAACCGGGTGACTAAGTTGCCCAATGTGTTTGTTCTGAACACAGTAGGGGTAGGACTAAGCACACACTTTTGCACATCACGGGTTCGAAGGGAACGTAACAGTGTGCACTCGTTCAAAGAACTCATTCACCAAATCAGCAGTACTCAGTAGGAGATACTCAGGTGAAGGAGATTTACAGATACATCCATACATTTATGAACATAGTAATAATGAATATCAGAGTGGAAAGCCTCGGACTCCCTTACAACGAGGTTTACAAGAAGACGACAGCAATACCTTTCCATTCCATTTGCGTTGGCCTATTTGATCCTCACTTTTGAAGTAATAGACGGAGAGTTTTTGTGAACTTTCCCAGAGCACTTCTCAGTCCTCGAAACCAGTCGGTCAGGGCCTGCGGCAGATACAAGTGCTTCTTTCTTATCACTGTGAGAATCCCTCAACAACGGCATAGTTGTACAGCATGCCGTCGGGGTTGTCGCATCATTGGCCAGACTGCTGATGTATTGCTGGCGGCACCGGTTCTATCCATGCTGCATATACTCCACTTTGTAGGCGCCGGGGTGCCCTCTGTAGTATCATTGGGTAGGTGCAGGGTGCTTTTATAAACTTAACTTCGGCACATCCTGCTACAAACCTGTGTCGTTGAAGGATAAACATTGTGCAGGTCGCAACCAGTCTTGTCAACCGCGGTATGACAACTTATGACAACCTTAAGATTTTGCCATGGTGGTTGCGCACAAGCCTCGCGGTTGCCAGTTGCGTCATCAGCACGCAGACCCTCCTTCCCAGGAAGTCGAATGCTAATGGCCTGCGGCGCCATGTCACCGTGGGAGCCTGAATGAGCATCCCTTGAAAAGTGTTTTACAGACCCTCGCTGTAAAGTCTGAGCCACAACTTTATGTGTATATATAATATAACATAATATATATATATATAATATATATATATATACACACTCACATTATTGAATGTCAGGAGGTTTGTCCTTGACCTAGGATGGGGCGTTGTTTGTACAAGACTATATATCCCTTCTTGCTCAGGGTTGCATGCAGCGGGATTGTTGCAGGAGAGGGGTTTTGTTGACGATTGATTTGGGATTTTGGTGGGGCTGTGAAAGCCTGAAGATGCGCTGTCGTTTCTGCCGGTTTGATGTTTCTGCCGGATGCGTCGTGGTAAGGTGCCCTCGCTCACGAATTCTGGAACCTGAAGGAACGGAGGCGCCATCAGATCATTTGATGTGGTTTGCACTGTGAGGGGATGTAGAGTTGCGTGTTGTGTGCATTTGATTCCGTTTGGGGCCCTATACTCGATCCGAAAACAATATTGTTGGTTTTGATTCACGAAAACAAGAACACCCGACATTGCCATTGCATGCCAGGATGCCACATGTTGCTGGGGCAGCCCATGATGCGAATTGTGCGGCTGCACAGGGGTGAAGAATTGGGCATGGGTTCACTAGCACTACACATATGCACAGCCACATACCTAGTGCAGTATTGGTTTGGGCATCTAAATCCATGAGAGGAGATAGGAACCGTATGGACCTTTTGGTTGTTTGGTTGAAGAGTATCATGTATCATTTGCGTAGATTCATCCCAAGTCTAGGTAGTAGTCAATTAGGACAAAAATGCCTTGACGCCGGCATTCTTCAAGAAATGGGTGCATGGATACAAGCCGTTGTTGGCTGATGTGTTGGAACCACAACATTACATCCAGACATCTCCAGGATCGTTGCCCGAAACTGGGCCTGGTCGAAGATCGACCAAGACTGCGCCGTGCGCGCGGCGAGAAAAAAAACATGAAAAGGACAAGGGGATTTGTTTGAGCTATGAGAACATGTTGAGACAACCAAAACAAAGCAATGCAGCAACTTCAAAAATCAAGGCCTCAATTCAAGCCAAGTGCTGTGATTTCTTGGCATTGTCAATTTGCGTGGCACTACATTTCAATACCAACACCTTCTTCGCCCAAAGAGGGGTTCTCCACGCGACTGGTCTCTTGGGTCTGGCCTCATGCGGCACATTGGAGTCCAGTCGACAAGGTATGTTGAAATTGAAAGCATCTCCCGCCCAACACAGAATTGAAAATGAAGAAACCTCCAAAAGAAGAACATTCCGCATGATCGAACGCTTTCGATCGTTTGAGGGAAATTAGATAAAAGCAAGCCAAATTTGTATGTTGAATAAAGAGTCGTCTCCTGCCACAAAAGGTTGAGCTGCTTTGCTACAGGCAAAGTCTTTGGGCCTCACATTCTAATTCTAAGATTCTAAGAGTAGTTGTTCACAACAGATGTCTAATACAAGGGATATCGGGATAATATCTGACCATCCCACCCCCCGACTATCTCCACAGATGTTCTCTTTAATACTCACCATGGACCATGTGCGTCAATTTGTTGCTGCGGTCTTGGGCTCAAGCGCTGCAGTTTTTTGAGGCGCTGCTAGATGTTGTTTTTTGGATCCAAATGATCGGGCTTAAAGGGCTCAAAAGGATTGGTAGGAATTGTAATTGTTTTTCATGTTCTGGTGATGTGCCCATCTTCCAGACACGACTCCATTCAGGAAATCCAAGAAGTAGAGAAGCCTCAAAAGATTTGTCAGATTTGACCCCAAGATTTGTCAGGTAAATTTGAGACGACTGCCAGAGGTATCGTGTAGCAGTGTAGCGTCACTCGATCGGAGTCCCAAATCTGCTGTACTCGGGAAACTCGACAAGGCTGGGAAAGTGAAGAGGGACCCTTTGGACATCGGATAACGGCCAGTTTAGCTTCGGTTTAGCTTCACCAGACTAAAAGACGTAGATTTCAATTTGACCTGTTTCACCCACAGCCTCCAATCAGGAAATCACCATGTGGCCATGTGTACTTTTGTTTGCTACACCGTGCCGTGCTTCCAAGCGCGGGCTAGAAGTGCACATGTCTTGAAGCCATTGAACCAGAATAAAGCCAACAAGTAAGAGCCATGAACCGTTGGCACTCTCGTCCCAGCTGGCCGCAGGCAGACTCACGATGTACCATCAGCAGGCGGATGACACCATTTTTCTGATGGGGAGACGCTTGAACCCGATGCTTTTTTCACAGAACTGATTTGCAATTTCTATTTGTGTTGCAGCGAGAGTATCCCACTTTGTGTATCCTTTTTTCTTTTGGAATGGCCAAGGAAGAGGCTGGGCCAGCTCTTGCAAACGGAAGCATTTCTCAATTGGAACCGGGGAGTCCATGCATGTGTATAGAGATTGATGGTTCCTGGGGCTGGTTTGGCTTCATTCATGATGAACCACCAGAGTGGTGGTCCTCGCACCGGTGGCCCGCTGAGGTGTTCTCAGCAGTCATTGATATTCAGTGTCTACGGAGTCCACTGTATGTTGTCATCTATGTGTTTTTTCCCAGCGTGCACAGTGAAACATCACAAAATCACAGACGTAACAACCCTGGAAGCAACTATGGTATGTGCCTATGATGGCTGATTGACAATGTATTGTTGCATATTGTTGTCAGACTGCTGAAAGGTTGGATTTCAATTGGTTGATCTCAACAAAGAGCGTCGCTTGGACCATGACAACCTGACCCGCGTAGGTGGAAGGCAGTCCGGGCCTCGGAACAGCCAGAAATGTGAGTGGTACTCAGCGATTAAAATTTGATCAACTGATGAAGGCATTGACCGCACCAACACAGGGAGTCGCAGTTGATCCATTGAGCTTGGCCAATGTGAGAGCATGTGAGAGCATTCTTCTTCTCCTGCTCTGCTCATGCCCTTGACCCCCATATTTGTCTATTCAGCTGTTCAACGATGGACAGCCCACGAAAAGATCCCGCTGTTGAAATGCTCAGCATGGCTCGTTTTCAACTGGACCTTGTGTTCGATGTATGCCACGTTACGAAGAGATTATCATATTATCCCTGTTGAAATAGCTTTCTTCCGCAATCGTTCGAATGGTTTGTCCAAAGCGGTGTGTAGCCTTTTGAAAGTGACACCAAGGCCGCATAGCGTGGGCAACTCACAGGCAGGCAGTGCCATTAGGAACAGATGTGTGGGAAGGGGCTTCGAGACATCCAGTTGTCCATAAGTTCGTGAAGCTGGAGAGAGAGAGAGAGTATGTGCCCCTTGAAACGGTGAGGGGGGGTTGCGCCGGCAACAGCCTACTGGCTGTATCGGCAAAGGAATCTGGACAGAAGTCATTGAAAACTTGCAACCTGCATTTGAGACTGACAACGAGCATAAAGCAACTGCTCATTGCCACAGTCGCAAACCAGGCAAACAGAGCACCAGTGCTGTTACCAACTGGCTTTGGTGGGAACACCCAAGCTTGCGTGCGATGCTCTTACCAGTCTCTCTATACACACATATATATATATATATATGCTACCGTGAGAGTTGTCTTTTCTGTAGGTGGTCCATCCCGTCCACCCTCGATCCCCCAAAATAGAGAAGTTATTCATCTATTTTTGGCCGCCAGGAAATACAAATTAATTTCAAACAACTCTTGACCCCCAATTTTAATCTATATTAATTGGCGGGGCGATCGGCTAGCATATATTATTTGTTATTTTGGATGGCTTTTATATTATAGAAAATTTCTCATGTAAAATATAGAAGCCATTAAATATGTTGACCATTAATTTTATCCACAAGCATTCTTCATTACCAAACAAAACGGCTGCCGTCAGTAAATTAATGGTCAACCAATAATAAAATACTAGCCTAGCAATTGACCGGGCAATATTTAAATAAAATAAAGCCCTCATGATTATAGATTAAAGAAATAGATTAAACGATACCATGAATTTTAAAGAATGAAAAGATATAAAATTCATGGGCATCATCCAAGAACCACCAAATAAAATGAATCAATGGTGGGCATTCTATCTTTGTAGTTCTAGAAAATACCATGAAAGATAGAATGCTTCTTGGATGATTTGTTCCTTGGCAGTTAATGGTCAACAATTCTTTGTAATAGACGGTTATCTGTAAAATCCATTAACTGCCATATCTTTCATTATTCGTTCATTCCCTTTATTGTATTCTCCATTAAAATATCATTAAAATAAAGGATCATTCACTGTCTTTCATTCTTTCTTATAATTCAATGAGCCCATTTTTCTTTTATATTAAATGGGCGGTCAATGGCTAGTTCTTTATATATTTTATGGATCATGCACCATTATTTTATTATTCGTGATCGCGGTTGTCTTTTCTTTATTGGTGACTCTAGGCCCTTTAAAATAATGGTGCATAAGATATAAATAAATAGGCTTAGGATTTTCTTAATAATAAATAACTTTTCTATAAAATTCTAAGCCAAATATTAAGATGTAGAAGCCTAGCCGATAACCTGCCTTTCATAGTTAAATAGAAGAAAGGCATCATGAAATATAAAGGAATGAACACATTAATGATCACCATTAAAATTGAGGGAGAATAAGTGAATAAGATATAATTTTAATGGTGAGAATGAATAATAGAATGAATCCATAAGATACAGATAAGAAGATAATAATAATGTAATGTCAAGATACGACCATAAGATAGAAAGTTGTCTACAGGAAATTGACCACCTATCCAAATAAAAGAAAAGTGAAGAAGAAACCAAAAGCACAGATAAACACCATTAAATCTATTGGTTAAACAATTTTTAAAATAGAATGAAGTAAAATAAGATGAAGATAGAAGTAAATAATATAATGAATCCTGCATTTCTATTTGGCACAGCTTTTAACATAGCATATTGGCATAAGAAATACCATTCAGGTACTATATGTAAAGGAGTAAGTAA